GTTAAAATCAGTTGATTTAAAATTTTTGGTAAGCAAACAATAAAAATCACAAAAAAATTTAAATCTTTAAATATCATGTCCAGTAAAACAGTCAAAAGCATATTATTCAACTTCAAATCCCGGTTTATTAGGATGTTGCTTTATTCCAGGTAGTAATTCACCTAAAAAAGTGCTGTAGAGTAAATACAGCAAAATTTAGCCAAACATCGAAAGTACCAGACTCAAATAAATTTTCTCCATAGGAAGTTGTATTTAAATTCGGACGATTTGAATATTGCGAGGTTCTTACAGTCTTCAGTAGGTTCTTAAATTTCGTGAGTTTTTAATTCGATGTTTTATATTTAGACACCCAAAAAAAAAACCCACTGCACTATTTCAAATTTTGGCCGCAGAAACTCGAATTTCGACGGGTATGAGCAGCCCTCCAATGTTCAGACGTGCACAATACAACGTAATTTATCTTATGTACAAAAGATTCATTATTGTTTATTACTTAATTTCTTTTTGATTGAATTAATGCTAATGTGTGCAAAATGAGCAATACAACTCATTAATAATACGTAGAATATTAAAACACGAGGAGACGAGACGGCATTGTTTACGTTGTTTACAAAACCAGTGACTGATTGGTTCTACAGTGAGTTCTGCTATAACGCGTGTTTTGATAACGCGAATTTGCTCTAACGCAATTTTTGAATTAGGAACGATATTTGTATAACGCGAACGCTTGTTTGCTATAACACGATTTTTGCTTACTATTTCTCCAATTTTGTGGTATTAACTGTGAATATGGTAAAGAAGAATATCTCCAAAAAGGGTTCTGATGATAGAATTCCCGGTGATGATCGTAAAAGAAAGGATATAACACTTGAAGAGAAGCTCGATATTATCAACCTCAAAATCACCCTTCTCCCCCATCAAGTTACATTCATATTTTTTCAAGGTAAAGTGTTACATTTACTGTATGATTTCATTATTAGATATAAATGTAACATTTATTTAGACTGTGCTATCCTTTGTGTTAGGCTAACTACTAAATTTTTTCGATTTCGAGTAGTAAACTGCGCCTAACCCTATTTTCTCCATAAGCCCTGTTATTTCTATTACGCGATTTTCTATAACACGATATTTTACAAGAACACAATTATCGCGTTATAGCAGAACTACCTGTACATATAAAACTGAAGAAAATAAGACCCTTGTTGTAGCTGTAGTAAAATTAATGTAAAAAAATTAATATGGTTGTTGTAAGTAATGTTATTTAGTGTTAATAAATGGAACAATGGAAGTGAGATCGCGTATGTAAGTGAGTACATGTGAAAACATATCGTCATTACTCTACATAAGAATATGAAAGCAACACTTATTTACTGTTCATATATATTTTAATTAATGTTTCTGAATTTAAAGCAAAAATTCTACCCACCAGTGGTGGTAAAGTTGAAAGCATAAGGACAGCCAATGTTGTTGTGTGTGTTTTTACTTGGATGACGAAGTTGCCAAGTCATCAGGTTCAACTCTAGCTAAAGATGTAGAACATAAAAACTTTTTCTGTGTTGTTTTTAGTTTTTATTTAACTTTATGTGTTATTTTCGTTGGTTTATTAGGATGTTGCTTTATTACAGGTAGTAATTCGCCCAAAAAGTAGGGTAAATAAGACAAATTTAGCCAAACATCGAAAGTACCAGACTCAAATTAATTTTCTCCATTGGAAGTTGTAAATTTAATTTTGTGAGGTTTTTACAGTCTAAATGGGTGTCCAAATATGAGAGCCTACTGTAAATAGGTGTCCAAATATGAGACCCTACGTATAAAGAAACAAACATTCCTGCGCTTTGAGACCAGCAGACAACCTTTAGCAATTCCTCAATAGATGGCGCTGCCGCACCACTGCCATTAGTAATGCAGTATGAAATATGTTAGCGATATCTTGGTTAACCAGAACAATTGTTGAAGAGCACTTCCGGGAATGAGAAATTTCCAGGTAACGAGATGTCTCTCAAACACAGAAAAAATTCCCCATCCCTGGAATTTTTCCGGGTACCGGGAAAAGTTTCTTGGAGTTCTCCCAAAATTGAAAATGATTTCATCCTCAGAATTTGCTCCCATATACTAGGGATGGGGGGCTCCCCCCTCATAATTTTCAGAATCTGTTCTCAGATCCGAAAAAAACTAATTTCCAGAAATTTTCTAAAAAAAAATGCACCCCATTTTCAAACTTGGAAAATCGGTCCCCAAACTTGGAATTTTCCAGAAAAATTGAGAGAAACTTTTAATTCCAGCTATCGGAGAGTTCCGGCTAATGGAGATAATTCTTGTACACACACGGGAAAATTAAGTTATCGCATAGAGGTTAACCATTTGTCCCAAATGAACAAAAGGTTTAATTATGTCACATTCATAAGTTAATGGGAACTCAAGCTACGGTTCAGAAACTGCCACTCTATTTCTAACAACAATGATCTTAACTTCTGACTGTAAACAAACAACTCTGTATAATCAGGTATCAATAAAGTTTCAGGTCCACGGATGCACACCAACTATAGTTGCAACCTAGGAATCAGCTTGTTAACAGACAGGGCCACACTAGTCATTAGATCTTGTAAATTTTTCCTGCCACATAAAAATGCTCGGCTAATTTTGGGGAAGGATAACAAGCCGTGATTCTTCATCCAATAAAAATACTAAATCTGACATGGACTCCCCCAGCGACTGTAAACAAATTATTTCTCAATTACTTTCATCTCACCTCAAGATAAAATATGATTAAGAATTTATAATTCACATTAGCAAAATTATACAAAAATCTGGCAGAGAAAATGAGGCTCTACTTCCCTTAAAATGGCAGTATGGGAGGAAGAAAGTTTGGTCAGTTAGTACACAATTAAGATAATTAATGTGTGAAAACATGCATACAAGAGTGTGGACGTGTTATTGTGTGTGCAGGAGGAAGAGAAAGGTTGGGTCAACTTCTTTCTGGGAACTCAGAAGTCTAACTCACATGCACAAACACAAATTTACATAACAATTTGTATAACGCTCTTTAAAGATACTGAGGATAAAGACAGAATAAAAGTTAGAACACTCCATAATCTTCAGTGCTCTATGAAAAAAAAAAACAGACATACTGTACAGGTATCTCAAGACTGGTAAAAATGTTCATCATGTTTCAAATCCAACTTATAAACAAACTATGTATAAGATTAGTTGCACTGGTAAATTTAGAATTTCATACATACATACATACAAACATACACACACACTAGGAGTTAACATCAATACTCCTTAGCCAAAACTGGCTGTAGGATAAAAATAATTCATGTTTCACTGACAAAGAAACTACAGTATATGGCTATAAGAGGCAAGGGTGACCATACATTTGGTGGCTGTTCAGTGTTGAGAAAATAACAATAAAAAGATAAAGAATGATATAAGAATGCACTCTAAAAAGTAGGTAGTGATAGAGAAAACATTTATCTAATGACAGTGATACTGTATTGGCTGAAGTGAATTATGTTGGCAATCTAAATAAATGAACCAAGTTTGGGGAAGTGAGCAGGAACTGTACAAAGAGGACATCAAAGATGCACATTCATAAATAGGATTAAGCCCTCAGGATGGATCATGCAAAATTGAAAATTTCAAAAGGGGAAGGGAGGGGGGGTTGTTAAATTCTCATATGCAATGAGTGAAAAAAGAAATGCACTGTGTGATTGGAAGGATGTGGCTTCTAGGGTAAGGTCATGCTTAACAGGGTTTAAAATAATAATAATTTTTAAGTTGAATCAATATAATGTAAGGTATAGAGACAACAATGAACTTTATGTTAACATTTGGTGAAGAATAGAGATGAAAAAGGAGGATTTATAGAAGGACTGAAGTGTAAAGTAGGTATCAGGAAGAATGCACATAAAAGCACTTTCTGCTCTAGAGCAGTTAACGATAATCAAAAGTGTGCATGCATGCATGCATAGGGGAAGATGCTATCAGAAGCAGTGTAGAGTATCTGTATAGAGAAAATGTATGAAAGGTATTAAAGAAGTGATTTTTTACAACTCAAAACCCCAAAAGAAATGAGGTTATGGATAATAATTGATCATGTTTGTTACATCTACACTGAAGTATTTGTACTTGGTGCAATGACTATCAATAATGGTGTGGGTATGATGTTAAGTGCTGTAAGAGCACAAAGAAGGTCCCAAGAGCCACATTTGGACATGCTTTGGTGGGGATGATTGTGGTTGGAGCGAGTGGTTAAAATAAAATCAGAAATAAAGGGAGGAATATCGCAAACATTAGACAAAAATATTAAACATGACTACAAATAAAATGCTTACATCCAATAAGTAAAGTTAATATTAAATATGGTCAGCTAAATAAAGAGCAAAAGTTTCAATGGTTGGGTAATACTTTCACTGACATAAATATGCTGTACTGTATGGCAATGGTAAAATCAAAGTTGTTCTATAATGCTCAATGTTACAATTGCATCAAAAGGGTAGAAGTGTAAGACTAGATAATATACTATGATATACTCTATGGTTAGTTCTGATTGTAATTTAAAAAAAATAATAAATACCGGGTAAATGAAAATAAAAACTAGTTCAGAGATACAGTGGTACACTGACAGACTAGGAGAAAATGCATACAAATCAAGTGAAGAAAATGTTTTTCTTGTATCATGCTGAATGAGGATAAACAGAAGCCGTGTAGTCAAGCAGGAAGGACAGGATATATATACTGTACTGTACAAGAAGGCTACATCTGCATACTGTGTACATTTGCTAAAGTTGGGTTTGCATGAAGGTAGTGTTACATGATACACTCCAAGGTAAAACTGGTCTAAAGGATACGTAAAACTAACTACAACCTTACATTACTCTATTAATTAATGAGCTGTACTTAAATGACTGCTGGATAAAATTACGTTAAGAGTACTGTACTGTACTTCTATAATCCTAATCTTAACATTTCAACAATCGTATTTTTGTGAACAATACCTTTGTCCTGTGTGTGGGTCTGTCTCTGCAATCCTGCAATGCATTTAATCATCAATTTTATAAATTTTAATGTCTTCAAGACATAGATATGTTCACAACATTAATCTTTATTCTAATAATTACCATAGCTAATCATGCTCAACCTGTATTCTCTACGAATTTCCACCCTGATGCTTTCTTCAAAGTAATGAATTACATAAAAGGCAAAATAATTAACATATATTTCTCTGCATTTAGAATAAATAGAAGAGACCATATAATATGGATTTAGGTATGAATAACCAACCTCAGTGACAAGTACTGTACTCTATTGTCTAAACTTTACAATTTAATTATCAGAAAAAGTTGCTTACTAAAGCCAAAATAGTTGTTTAATTCCTGGAATGTAATGGGAAAACAATATTGTCAGATACCTGAAATAGATGCAACATGCGTGAATATATATATATATATATATATATATATATATATATATATATATATATATATATATATATATATATATATATATATATATATATATATATATATATATATATATATATATATATATATATATATATATATATCATATTATATCAGTTTATATATATATATATATATATATATATATATATATATATATATATATATATATATATATATATATATATATATATATATATATATATATATATATATATATATATATATATATAATGATGCCTTGGGTTTTATGCTTTCTTGTTTTATCAGAGACATCACATCAAGAAATATTAATAGAGATAGACTTTCAAAAGATTACAAGAGGTAGAACAATGAGTCTTCTGATGTGGTTTGTAGGTTCCTGAAGTCACTACAGTTTATCATATGCCCTGTTAATTATCACAAGAAAAACTCTATGGACAGACTACCACACAAGCAATCAGCTATTGCCTTGTTCTCATCAAATATATGACAAATGATCAACAAAGATTACACTGTTGTTATGCCTCATAAAATTATAGAGGAATATGTATATATTCCTCTATAATTTCATATAATTAAGATACTTGTCAGCTTCAGTGCACTAATGGAACCCTCAAACTACATTCAAATGACCACATTCTTTTCAATCACATTACCTGTACTAATATTGAATGTATACTGTAATTCTAAATATTAAAATCCATTGATACATCTATCCCACAAAAGCGAAAACTGACCGACCCTAGGTGAGTGCATATGCTTTCTTGTCTAAGCATTGAAGTACATATCTACTTTTGCATAACTTTATCTAAGCTACTGTATGTCCCAAAATGCGCAGACACGGAAGAATGAAAAATGAATAAATAAAGTAGTACCTGTACTATAATCCCTTGTTTGCAAAATTACTCATTTTTATTTTTTCCTAACTCTCATAACCACATTCCTAGCTCAATCTATTTACCAGTTATGCAACTATCTTTAATAACTATATAACTGTAGTATTTGTAACATTAGGTTTACAGTTATTTTCTATGTCCTCATCACCCACTTTACAGTACATACTTTTCTAACTCTTCCTCCTCTTGATATGTATCTCAAAAATTTCCACATGCTTATCTTCAAATTTTGGGTGTTTAACTAAAACCTCTCTAATTGATCTGATTCAAAATGTGTGACTAAAATTGTAAACCTGAAATTAATTTTGTTTGCTGCAAAGCTTCAATTGTAACAATAAGCGGCCCACAACTGCCTCACGCAAAACCCATTTGTGAGAGTACTGTACTCACTCTCACAGGTGTACCTTATGACACAAACACAGCACAAAGAAAGAAGGGCGATCACCGAACACAACATTTGTGAGAACAATTATGGACAAGAAGTTCTTGTAGCCTTTTTAAGGGGCACCAGGATTGGACAATGTGAATGCCTCACAAATAGTCAGGAGCCCATCTGAATTTTGAAAAACTCAGTTTAGATTTGGTAGATTGAATAAAAAGGGGTCCAAGACTGGACAATAACTACTCATCCCACCTCTTTTCAATAAATAAGTTTAGGTTACTTCTCCTTTTTGTGAATCCCTTGCTATTGACACACAAAGATCATAACTAAACATAATTAAGTAAAAAAAAATATAAGCATGGATCTTACAACCTCAAAGAGTGAGTACTGGACTGTTCTATTTATATCTTTCAGACACATGGACATTGCCATCCACGACCAACCCGGGATTGAAAGGGAATGATGTACGACAAAACTATCCTCGCCTAATACAGAAATCAAAGAACTGGTGAAAATACACTGCATATACAGTAAAGAATAGTGAGAATAATAATAACACCAACATTGCCACACTGTCTAAAATAAGCCAATTTACAGGGTAGCAGGGCATATATATTTAATATCCAAAGCAAATTGGTTGTGGTGTTGCATTATTATATAAAAAAAAAAAAAAAAACATACTTTGGAGACAATGGCAACAAATACTCAGTACAGTATAGCAAAGCCAATTCTAGGCTTGTGCGTAATGGTTAAATTGAACCCAAATGAAGAGGTGGAAATAATACTTAATCTCGGGAAAAAGTAATCCTATACGTACTATACTGTTACACATAGGCACAATACAACAGGCATTTATTTTCATACATACTACAGTATATATGATTCATATCATTCAAGATGCTGAGATCATCTTCAAAAATAAAAACTAGAAATTGAGAATTGCTTAAATTGTGGAAAAATCTGAGCAACAAGAAATTTTCAGAGGAATTTAACCTATAAAATGCTACATCCCTTATGGTATCAAGATACAGGTGTACCAATTCTGCAGCTCATTTCTCACACCATTTACAAATTCATCTATCTTTAATTAAAACAAAAAATATTAGGGGGGGTATAATATTGAATAACAATAAAGTTCAAGTAATAATGCCAATAACAGTTTCAAAACTGAAGAGCCCACAAACACATCCTCAAGATTCTATCTTAAAACAAACACTGTCAGTAAAGAGTAAAGCTTTAACCCTTAGGCCCCGGGTGACGTTCCAGCAGCACCCTAACTCGGGACTTCAGGGTTAAGCCATTCTACGGTACCATGACAAGATGCCCAAATATGTAAGGGTGAACACAGTACAGTACTAGTACAGTACTTCAAACATACCTCCCATAGTGTCTATTATAAATTAAGTCATTAAAGCTCCTGGGATTTAATCCCCAATTAATAAACATTAACATAATGAGGGGATGGTACACACCACAGCAATAACTGAAGTATACTTCAATATTTTTCAGTGACCTATTTTTTGAAATGGTGACAGTATCATTAAATGGCTCTACAAAAATGTCTTGTGACTAAAGCATGTGTGATCGCACTTCCAGCTTATGATGAGACCTATCTTCATTTTTTCCATACCTAAACCTGAAACTGTTTGGCCTAAAAATTTCTTTTTCTTCTATAATAAGTTACCACTGTGCCAAAGGCCAATGCAACTACAGTATTGTAGGTTTCCACGAACACAAAATAAGATCCCCTTCTCAGAGTATGAACCTACAGAACACACCTGAAGCCAGGAAAAACAATAACACTCTCTGAAGTGCCCATCCCAGATCTTCCTCAATCAGGTTCCATGATGTCTCAGGGAACCTAGGAGATGGTTCTTAAGACCAAGTCATGTGCCTCTACCTCATAAGCAGTCTCAGTTCCTATTGGCCTAAACCCATACAAGCATCCTCCCCGGTACAAAATCTCTGGTAACGGAATTTTGCCCTAAAGGAATTTTGAGGTTATGACCATAATTTCGGGTTACAAAAATAAAACTCGCCCTTAGGGAATTTTGGTAAACTTTTAAAATTAAAACAAAAATAAATAAATAAATATGAAATAGCTATTTTTAGCCCCACTTTTAGCCAAAATTTTAAAATTATTTTGTGTGGATTCTCTGTGGTGGTCACAAGGTGTTGGGAGGCCGCTCACCTCCCCAGTTGCCAGCAACCACAACAATGGCACTGCTCAAGTGAGAATTCTTTCCCCAGCTTGTATTTAGAAATGCATCTGTGTTCAAGATTTCAGTCATTCTTAAGGAATTTGGGTTAATTAATTAAGATTTTCAAAATAAAAATCGTGACATAGAAAAATAAAAATCACCAAAATTATAAAATTTATTTCATGTGGATTCTGGTGATAGCTACAAGACAGCTGCCAGGACCGGTATACCCTGTACACAAAACTTTTAAGTGCTACCAAACAGTGGTTAAGGTTGACATTTTCCTGTTAAGCACTAATAGTACATCCACAAAACTTTTAAGGGCCTCAATAGTACTGTTAAGTTAAAAGACCTCGAGAGCACTTTTAAGTCGTCTGTTAGTTGATACCACGGCGAACCAGCAACATCAGCAGCTGCAAAGCACTTATCGGGAAAGGAGATATATATTTAATGAATATACAGTACAGTAGTGTGTGTGTGTGTATATATTAAATATAGTGTGAATATATTGTGTATATTCCCTCTTTATAGCAGAGATCTTCTTCCTAACTTGAACATTACTGAGAATCAGCTTATCTCACACTCTGCCACTGACCTCACCACACCAGGAAATGCAGCATTGACTTACGTGGTGATTTCCAGCCATGCCCTCTTTGGTTATTTTTCGTTACTCACCCATCACCTTTTTTCACACGAAAAAAAAATTTTTCACTAGTTTTCTTGCCATTTTAGATGATTCTGACATTTATCTTTGGGGCAAATCACTTCTTTTTTTTTTTTTTTTTTAGTTAGATTAGGTCAGGACGTGGCCTGTTAGGTCAGGTAACCTAACTAAAAAAAAGTTAGTTTATGCTAGGTTACCTGACCAAAGATAAATGTCAGAATCATCTAAAACAGATAGAAAACTTTTGAAGAAATTTATTTATCATGTGAAAAAAGTGATGGGTCGATAACGAAAAGAGAGCGACACTGCATGTCACCATAACACCAAATTGGTACTTAGTAATTTATTTTTTATTTTTACAACTTATATATTACGGATATCGCGTTTATTTTTGGAATGCGCCGCTTAATTCAAGTATATTCTTTCGTTGCTCGATGAGATCT